GGGGGGGGGATACCCCTATTGTTGCGCTTCTTTCCTGGGATGTTGCATGCAAGCTATTGTGCTTCTTTCTGATTGCTTGACTGCTAAGTCACTTCTGTTGAGATACTTATGACTTAACCGCAAGACTGATAAGTCACTACTGTTGAGTTTGAATCATGACTTAATTGCATGACTGGTAAGTCATTACTGTTGTGTTAGCTTATAACTTGAATGCATGACTGGTAACGGTAAGTCACTACTTTTTGGGATAGCTGGTGACTTAACTGCATGACTGGTAAGTCACCGCCATTATGACTGTTTCCTACTTAACTGCATGACGGCCAATCACGATCATATTTATAGAGACTGCTTCTGCTTACCCCTGACCCCTGACCCCTGACCCCTAACCTTTGCCTCACCATGACTGTCTTCACCTGTGTCTTGCACAACTGGACAAAAAAAAAACCCAGTTGTGACTGGCAATGTCCCTAACCCTCACATTGATATTTTATACATGTATTACAAATGTTAGGCATAGCATAAGTTTTATGTGTATATAAAAATATGTATATTATAGAATGTGTGTCTGGGTGCTTGTGTGTGTGTGTGTGTGTGTGTGTGTGTGTATGTGTGTGTGTGTACATGTGTAAGAGATAGCATGTCTTGATACTTGATGGGTTTGTTTGTGGATAGGTGTTTAAAAATAGAAAGAGGGAGGTAGAAAAAGAAAGACAGACAGATGGACAAAATGATGGATGGATAGACAGACAGACTGAGACAGAGAGAAAGACTGGGAAACATTAACAAGATTAAGACTATCCCATTACTGGTGACACAAAAGAATTAAACCTCAGAACAAAGCTCTTTGTATTTTATTGACTTTATCCATGAATGCTTGCATTTATTTGTATGCAATAGTACTATCGTCAGTCAACTTATGAGAGATTTCAGATATTTGCATGCTTCAGTGGTCCATCCTTACGTGACCCACAGTATTGTATATCTAATAATGTCTTATAGAACATTGTGTATCTGTGTAATTTTAAGTCACTTAGTTCAATGTTGCTGTTGTTAGTGTAGCTATGTAAGGTTTAGCATGTATTTGTCTTTGTAATGATTGAGCGTTTTTCATTCAGAGTCTCTATTAATGTAGCTATGTAAGGCTCAGCATGTATTTACCTTTTAATCGTTGAGTGTTAGTTATGTCGCGTTTGCTGATTGCGATGTCTCGTTCACTCAACATATGGCACTCGTGTTTGTTCACAGTATGACAAGGACGAGAAGACGTACTATGTGAAGGTGCATGCTCCGTGGGAAGTGCTGACACGCTTTGCCGAGATCATGAACATGAAGATGCCTCTTGTGGTGAGTCCGAGGAGATGGGCTGAGAAATGAATCTAGTGGTTTTTTACACCCCCATTGACACATTTAGATCATTGAAGCCTTTTTATGTGGACGTGCAAGCTCTGTGGGATATGCTCACACGTTCTACCGAGATAATGAACGTGAAGATGCCTTTTGTGGTGAGTCCAAAGAGATGTGCAGAGGAAGGACCATAAGACATCGGTGGCAGTAGAGAAAATTATTTTTCTGTTGATGCTTGAAACGTGATACCGATGTCTAAAGTGTAGTAGGTAGGCGCTTCACTGTGGCACTCAGGAGAGCCGAGTTTAATTTCTAAGTGGGGAGAAATGTTTGTCGAGTACCTCGACCTTTCTGCTTAGATGTTGTATCCCTCTTAGCCTGGTGGGTTAGCCCTGACAGGCAGGGTTGGAAGCCCGCCTCCTGGATTGTCTTAATTGTATTTATGGGGGCAGAAAACATCGACATTTTAAAAAGAAATTTAGATAGTGCCCTGTTCACTTTGGTGTTTGGTTATGATACTAGGGGGAAAAGTATCATCAGCCGAGATTTCTTCTCCTCAGAAAAACGACATGAGCGAGAAGTTTGAGACTTGCTGGAGCAAGTGTCCCACACCTTTCGACTACGACGAGGACATTCTGCCAGAGATTCCAGACTACTTCACAGCGCCGTTCTCGCGGGCTCGGGAACAGCAGTGAGTGTTCTGTGGCCTTGCCCTTTGCCCTCTTGTGTGTCACCCATCATGCATCTGCTCATGTCTTTCACGCTTAAAGTGGTTGAGAAATTTTGCAAGATATATTCTCTCTCAGAGATATCCTTTGTAATGTGCCATCAGTTTGTTGAAATGGGTCGTTCATTCCCGATTTGAAAAAGTTTGAGCAGATTATTTTTTACTCTTTGTCATTGTATAACAGATCACTTTTTCTGGTTTTTATTTGTGGTTGAGTTTGCTTTCGTGGTCTTGATTTGTTGATAGTTAGTGTTACAGGCAGATTTTGGTTGTGAAGGCTATACCTCTTGAAGGGAAACATTTTATGCTACTCTTTGGTATCTTACGTACCTAAGTGTGCATTGTGGAGACCAAAGAGAGAGAGGGCGAAAGAGAATGTTGAGAGAGAGAGAGTTGTGAAAGAGTCAGACAGTAGAAACAGAGAGAGAGACAGCTTTATGGTTCGTTTGGTCTTTAGATGACATTCAAGAAGTCTTTGAAATATTTTTATTCCAATTTCAAAGAACTCATCGTTAGTACATAGCCATTGCGTCAGCTGCTTCATGTGTTCCATCTATTTGATGAGACAGTTCGTTGGCTGGCCATTAGCTCAGTCGGTTTCATGCTAGACTACAGAGCAGCTGGCCGTAGCTCGAATCACAGACTGGTAGTTCTTGAACTGTGGTCATTTTGTGGAGATCTCAAAGCGGTCAACCCATTTGCCTCAGTTCTGTTGGAGACGAACGTTAAGGTCCCTCCGCTTAAATAACCTACCACTGTAGAGTTGATAGAGGCGTTAAACCTGTACACTTACTTTCTTTAGAGTCTATTGTTAACACTGTCTGCTGATGGTTCAGTATATCTGATGAAACAGTTGATAGGACTGTCGATAAGATTGTCTGCGGATGAGGCTGTTGTTAAATGAGCAGATCTATTCATGTGCAGGTGTATGGTTCAATTGAAGCATAAATTTTACGTCATGTGCTTTCCTTCAGTCTTTCTTGAGTTCCTGAAAGATACTTTGTTCCTCTGTTTGCTCTCGCCATGTACACTTGAGACACTCTTGTTTTGCTTTGTTAGACAAGCGTTGTTGGTTGTTTTTTGTTGTTGTTTTTTTTCCCCTTTTTCCTTTGCTTAAGTTTTTCTGTTTGTTGAATCTGAGTCAGAAGGTTCTGTCTACATTAATATTATCTCTGTTGCAAATGCTATAAAACTCAGTAAAACTGTTTTAAAAACATACTATTGTATGTCAGATGGAACTTTTGACCCTGAGTCCTTAAATTGTCTCATATAGTCCTATTTATTTCTTCGCATGCCTAATGCTTTGATTTGATCTGTTTTGTTTCTTAGATAATGACTGGCTTAACTTTCCATTAAACATTATAGCCTCATTGCTCTCTCCTGCGAAAAGAATCTTGTTTTGTTTGATTTTATGAATGATAGAACCTGTATATTCATCCCCTTGAGATGATAGATTCTGTATGATATATTTTCTGATTTATTATTTGCTGTTATTATTGCTTTATCAACACGTCACAGAGCACTTTCTGTTTCTCTCTTAGAATCTGTTTTATGTACATATGTACTCATTATAATATATATATATATGCCTGAGATCTATTATTCTTTCACAGGTGCATAAGATGCATTACTTTGGCAAGCAGTTTAGTTGTTCTTAGCCCAGAAAGCAAAATTCTTCAGGAGCAAGAAAATTTTTTTTTCAATTCTTTCATAAATTGTATCTAGTCCTTGTATCGATCTTACCTTTTTTTTTTCCTTCAATATTTAGAATTTGAATTTCCACCAAATATTTCACGGATGTAAGCAGCCGATACCACAGATTGTGAAACTGTGTAATGAAAAATTTTTCAAAGTTTTGGGCTTTGTACAGCTGAACAGCTGGTCGACAATTAGTCAGGTTTTTTTTCGGTGGAACGTACTATTATTCCACCAGTTGTGATGATTCTTTTATTCTCTGTCCCTTATGTGGATGGCGTAACCATATCATATTGCATCTCTTTTCTCACACAGGGGGAAGTAAGACACTTGTACACGGTGGTAACTGCGTTACTGTGTGGACGACCTCCCTTTCTAATCTGCTTTTCTTTTTTTCTTTTTTTTTTTGACGTGGACATTTTCTGTAGTATAATTTTTCCCCCTGTCAGATCTTATAGGTAGTTGGTACTGGATTCTCAGTGTGCATGGGTCGATGGTAGCCTGGCATGTTTGAAATACTGTATGCTTGTTGGATAGATTCATCTGGCAACTTGAAATGAAAAAGAGTATAGTCCGAGAAAATAGTTATTGAACATCAGAGCAATCTTTAATAATTCAATTCTTTTTTAAAGTAAGAGCATAATAAAAAAAACATAGATCTATATTTACCATTCTTTTTATTTCAAATATATATACTCCGAGAAATATGCATTTTATGTATGCTGTAATACTTCAGTTGTAGTTTTCATTTCTTATATTATGAAAGAAAGTAAGGAACTTATCATAATTATAAAAATTAATTGTAATAAATATTTTAAATTTCTCATTGACTTTTGAACATCGTAGTGATTTGTAATGATTTGGTTCTTTTTTTAAAAGTGAGTACACCATAAAAAACCCATTCTTCTATTATAATTTGCTTTTAGGAAGTACAAAAAGCTAAGCAGTATATCCCAACATCATAATTGGAATCTATGTGAGTGTGTGGGTGCGTGCATATGTGCGTGTGTGCTTGCGCGCATGTATATGCACGTGTTTATAAGTGACTTGAATGCACGTTTCCCGTAGTGTATGCACTGAGCTCACTTTCATCAAGTCAGCACTCGAAGCAGCATGCACGTCTTAAATTTGCCAAATTATTGCAGAAGGTTTCTACTGTATGAGCATGGCATGCCCATCCATTCCTCTTATGTTTACTTTTACTTTTTGTGGGTTCCTTTTGGAGTTTTCATTGTGTAATGGGGATGAGGAAAAATTGTTCTTTTTTCCTTCTATTTTAAGTATCTTTGACTCAAAATAAATTAAATGTGACAGCATTAAAGTCCTTTGTGTGTATTTAGAAATATTAATAACAGGATAATTACATTCAATAAAGATTTTTTATTACGGCATCTACCCTCGACGCTCAGCGCGACGGAGGATGAAAAAAAAAAATCATAAATGTTCAATTCTACTCTACATGTTCAGTTACAGTGAATGGGTATGGCTAAACATTCTCAAAATCTTTCAAGAGCAAAATGAGTTTCCATTTTGCCTGTACCCTGTGAATGTTAAGTGGTTAGAGCGTCCAAGGTTTTTGTTGCATGGACAATCCTTTTTACATTTTTTGTTGATTTTTTTGGTCATATCCTGATGTTTGTGTAATCACTGATATCAGCTAATGTGTGGAATGATATCTTGTGAATATTTACTATCAATCTCAA